GAGACTATCCGCCTCTTTGTCAATTAATACATCAATTGGACGATTCAATTGATTTAATCCATTTCCTTGGCCTTTGTCACCAGCAACAACTTGTCCATTCGTCGTATCACCGTTCTTCCATTGGATGATACGATGATTCGAGTAGTCAGCAATAACCACTGTTTGATCATCATCAACAAAGAGACCTTGAGGCAGGTTGAGTTGATTACTGGCACCCCCATACCCGTTACCTCCACCAATAGTCACTCCGTTCTGTGCCCAGTTAGCATTAGCAGGAATATTAACTAGAAGAGAAAACATAAGAATAAAAGGAGATCTCTCTCTCTATGGCGTTGAAGTGTGGATGTGATTCTTCTGCTAATCTATACCCACACCAAATCATGGAGATAATTAATCGAAATCGACACTTAGGAATAGATCGCCAACTAAGAATAGTTTTCTCAGTGATGAATTGCATTATGGCTATACAAAACTATTTAATACCTATCAATTGAAGATTTTTCGTACGATATACGGATTCTTGCACTCTAAAAAAAATAGGTATTCTACGAAACTTATAAAGGATCTTCCGCCGGGCACACGGGAAGATCCTTTGGAGGTTCCGGAAAAACACGGATGTAGCACCGAACCATTTCGCAACCTATAAAAAAAAGGGTTTCGTAGCAATGGTTTCGTACAAAACCTTTTAAAAATCATTCAAAAAAAGGTTTTGTATCCAACAAATGTTCCGTTAAAAATTTCATTTAACCCTCTGCTGCCGCCCACGGTGTGCACACAATTCGAGTATTTCTCAAAACCCGAGTACGGTATACATCAAATGAATCAGTAGTAAGATGAAATAGTCTATTTGAAGGAAAATCATTCTATAGACTATTTCATCTTACTACTGATTCATTTGATGTATATCGTACTCGGGTTTTGAGAATTACTCGAATAGTGTGCACACCTCGGACGGCACCAGACGGTTAAAGTCAACTGAACCCCTAATATTCATAACTAGAAGAACCTAAAATACAGAAACGAATTAATATAATCATTTTATAGGGTCAAACTTACTTCACGATTCTTTTACTTGAAACAATCTAAAATGAACAAATTAGCGAAAATTTATAATTATTGAAAATCAGACTTACCTAACACGCTATCTCTATATTAACCTAGAATTAAAAAAACGAATAATTCTTTGATTTGTTAAGAGAGAACTTACCTAAAACTACGTATAAGCATCAACCTAGAACAAAAAACAAATCAAATATACTAAATTATACACGATCAAACTCACCAGAAATTGCCTCTTTGAGGCCTTCTATAATTGAACAGAACATATATCTGTTATTATACGAAATAAAATTGACCTAAAACCTTCTATGTGAATGAATCAATAAGAAAGAAACAGATTTTTCACTTTCATCACATCAAACTTACCCCAGAAGAGAGATCAGCGTTGAAATAAAAAGTCTACCATATGAAAATCGGACTCCAGATCGACCTATTTTCTCCACCATGAAAGCTCGGATAGAAAAACTGATTATGGGTTTCGACTCAGGGACCCCAATAAGCTATAGGTAACTTTCATCAGAATTTTGATCAGGGTTGAAATGAAAAGTCCACCTTGTGAAATTTGGAGAGCAGATCGACCTATTTTCTCCACCATGGAAACCCGGAGAGAAAAACTGATTACGGATTTCGACTCAGGGACCTCGATAAGCTATAGAAAGTTTAACATAGGTAATAAAGCGGTGAAAAGTTTAATGGAAAAACTTAGAAACCTTGAGATCGTCGACGAAACGAGCGCTGGTTTGGTGGGTATTTTACAAAACCCTAAAGCACACTAAGCTGTAAAAAAAAGGGTTTATGATAGTGCAGCGTGTCACATACCCTTTTTTCCGTTTTTGAAAAATCTTATGAACCCTGTTTTAAAAATCATGAACCTAAAAACCTTTTATTATCCTCGTCATATACGGAAAAAAGGGTTATGATACGTTGCACTTTCATAAACCCTTTTTTGTTAAATACCCTATCAAAAACGTTTTTTCTGTTTATTATTCTGTGGATTTTTTTTTACAGTGTAGAAAGTGCGAAAAAGTTGCGTAGAAATAATACGAAAATTTTGGATCGCGAACAAAAATATCAGTCGATTTGTGGAAAGATTCCAAACCTCGAGAGTGTCTGCGAGAGTTTCACTGGTTTGGTACAAAATATACGAAACTTTGACATGGATAATAAAGTGGGAATCGTTCAGCTCAAAAAGTACGAAACCCTGAAATGTTCTACGAAACCAGCAATTGTTTTCCAGAGAATATTGCAAACCTTCTGACAGTTGCTGGAACCAGCAATGGTTCCATGAACATATTACGAAACCTTAATGCCGACCAGGAAGTGTAGATAAGTTCCGCATATATAATACGAAACCTTCGGATCATCGGCAAAACCAACACTGGTTGCGTGGACATATTACGAAA